ACCAGAATCTAGCCTCTGCCCTGAGAACTGCCACTAGAAACAGGAAAGAGGGCCTATCCTGTCAGGTAGTGCTAACACATGAATGCATAGCTATCTCAGGGTCTGGTCTTCGAAAACACAGAACTTATCCCCAAAAGACTTTAAGTCCCCAAACCTCAGAGAGTGGAAATCTAAGCAGGACTTAAAGGACATGGAGACCCGGGGAGAAGAGGCATAACCTGGTTACCATGAATAGGAGGCTTCCCAGTACCTGGGTTATATCCTTGATCACCTGCTGTAAAGACAACTTCTCCTCTTGGGCATTCCTACTGAGAGATGCTTCATGTTCCATTAACTCTGTGTGATTTGTCTCCTGACCAGGGAACAGAATACAGCCTCAGAGCCAAACTATCAAAAGTGATTTTATTATTCCAGGTCCCCTCATTCCACCTATTCTATCAGCCCCACTTTTCCCCTGACCATACGTGAATGCTAATATGTTATCCGAAGAGTCTGAAGACAATGTGATGTGGTGATTACAAGTTTAGATTAAGTGATTATGAGTTCCAAATTAGACTTCACAGATTAGAATTCCTGCTCTATCACTTACTAGCTTGGTTACCATAGGCAACTATTTCTTTGGGCTTCTTTAAAACAGAAATAATTATCAGTAACTACTTGTTTTGAGGCTTAAATGAAAAATGCATTCAAGTTATTCAACATAACGTCTGGAACAAGGCAAATGTTCAATAAATGTAAGCTATTATTAGATGGGGGATGGCTGTTGTCTCTGAACAGTAAATGGATGCTTGAGACCTAATGCTAAACCAGCGAATCCTCTAGCCCCAAAGCTAGACATAATCTTAAAGACTCTAGAGTTCCTCTCTTCCCTCCTATTTGTGTTAGTGAAGGCGTGAAGACTTAGACTTGCAACTATGTTTTATTTGGCTTATACAAAATTTGAATCAACATTTATAAATGGAAAGATTTTACATTAAAAATATAAATTTCTGGCTTCTCCCAAAACGTTAAAAATGGGCCACACCCAGCCTCATTCCTACATGGAAATGATTTACTGAAGTTGAATGGTGGATGCCTCCTCTAGATGAGACATTTATTCTTCAAGGTCTCACAATCCCTATCACTCCTCATGGCTTCCTTAATACTGAGCTCAAGTGTTCCCTGCAGTACTGAAAACTAAATACGACAGCACTGGAAAACCAGAATTCTTACAACTGAACCCACTTCATTTATTTACATTATCTGAGCCCCATGGATATTCTGAATTGGCAAATTCCTGGGGAAAAAAAAAAGGGTCGGGGGAATCAGAAAGCTACAATGCCTGTTGATTGATCCCAGCTTGCATGAGAAGACTAGGGGTATGTATATGAATAGGGGTTCAGGAGCTACCTAACATCAGGAATCTGAAAACTTGCAGAGATGAAACATGATATCAAGCCAGAGGGCTCTAACATCCAACCTTAGAGAATCCCTTTGATAACATCCCTGGCAGATGTCAAGCCAGTGACCAAAACCTTATTCCTTCACAAGACAGGCTGTCCAACTATTGAAGAGCTCTAACTGTGAGTCAGAATCTACTCCCCTAATAACTTCTAGCTATTGACATTGGTTTTGGCCTAGAAAACATTAAATACATAAACTCTCTTTTCCCAGTGTCAGTCCTTCAGATATGTGAGGGCAGCTATCATGTCTTCAAGGGCCTTCAATAAGCTTCAGGCTCTTTCTTCTCCTGGCTAAACACTGCCATACTCCTCAGTTGTTTTCCAAGTGACAAGGTTTTAAATCTCTCCACACATCCGCTTCCTGGTAACTCACTAATTTGCTAATGTGTCTCTGAATGTTATGTGCCAAGTCTCTGGCATATTGTATATGCATGCCATTGCAATATCCCCAGGAATACAGTAGGGGATAGTAGACAGTCAATAACATTTATTCATTGAATAAATGAATGAGTTAATTAATTTTCAGATTCAGCCAAAATTTATTTTTTAGCTTCAGAGGATTTCATCATGGACTATTTAACTGGTATCCTGCACTATTTGTCCATATAGGATAAGAAACCTACAAGCCCATGCCCTGCTCCCTTCCAGAACAAAGGGTCATGTACCAGGATCTCCAGTGTCTCTCTCAGAGCCTTTACCATCTTTTCATAATCTTCATTTTGCTTCTGAGACTGGGTCAGCAGAACAGAGAGCTCAGTCACCCTAAAGAGAAGAGCATAGCACTGTCACCAGAACAACCCATGGATGTGGACAGAGCTCCGATGTAGCACACCCCAGCCCCAACCCCAGACACTCCCAACTGTGGCCACCCTAAAATCCCTTAGCACCCCCAGCCCCTCTGCACTCCCTGAAGACCACATGATGCTATAGCCTTGAAGTGGGGAGGCAAAAAATCACTCAGACACATGCAGGGATTTACCACATCTCAAGGCTGGAACACGTGTTTGGGGGCCCGAGAGCTGAAGGAAAGCCCTGGCCCAGGCCCTTCCAGGCCTCGCTTGATCTTGAAGTCAAGCACCCTGAAGCCAATAAGAACATCAGAATTGCCACAAGGGATAGTCCCAAGGTCCCTCCAGCCTGAGGTTCTGACTCTGATAGGGAAAAAGGAAGGGCAATTTGGGGAAGATTATGGTCAACCTTCTTGATATTAAACTCAAGGTCCCGCAAAATCACCAAACACTTAACATTATATCTTGGAGCTTACTGCTTGGTAATATGTGAGTAGCTAAATAAATATTTCTTGAATGAATGCTATCTAAAAGGTTAAATTTTTGTTTCAATATTTTTTTTTTTGAGACAGGGTCTTGCTCTGTTGACCAGGCTAGAGTACAGTGGTGCCGTCATAGCTCACTCTCAAGCAATCCTCCTGCCTCAGCTTCCCAAGTAGCTAGGACTATAGGTGCATGCCACCACATGGCTATTTTTTTTAATTTTAATTTTTACTTTTAGTAGAGACAAGGTCTCACTGTGTTGCCCAGGCTGGTCTTGAACTCCTGGGCTCAAGTGAACCTCCTGCCTCAGTGAAAGTCTTAGTAATTTTATCCTATACCATCTCTAAGAACCTTAACTCACTGTATGGTCATTTGTTTAAGTATTGTATCACTCAACAAACATTTATTGGCCAAGCATGGTGGCTCAAACCTGTAATCTTAGAACTTTGGGATGCCAAGGTGGAAAGATTGCTTGAGATCAGGAGTTCCAGACTGGCCTGGGAAACACAGCAAGACCCCACCACTACAAAAAAATAAAAAAAAATCAGCCAGGCATAGTGGTGTGTGCCTGTAGTCCCAGCTACTCTGGAGGCCGAAGCAGGAGAACTGCTTGTGCCAAGGAGGTCACGACTGCAGTGAGCTGTGTTTGCACTACTATACTATAGCCTGGGTGTCTACTATAGCCAGAGCTAGCCTCTGTCTCAAAAAGCACAGAAACAAAATGTATTGAGTATCTCCTATATGGCAGGTGAAGTACAAAGTACTAGAAACACAAAACTTACTAAGACGTGGTCTCTGTCTTTGTTCTTCTCACTGCCTCCAAAAGCAAAAACAAAACAAAATAGTCCTGCATTTTATGTATGTATCTCCAACAGGTGAAGACACAACCCTAGTCATGGGCATATATGAACTTTGTCCTCAGATTCATTGGGGCTCTCTGCTCATTTCCCTGCCCTTCTACATCATCATTTTTAAAAAACCTACTTCATTATAATCCAAAAATTAAAAGAGCCTAACCAAAAAAAAAAGGTGGGGGAAACTAAATCATCAGTGAGATCAATGCTGTAATAAGAAGTCAAAGGACTACAAGAGCACAATAACTTACTTGGCTTCTAAGGTCAGAGAAAGCTTCATAGAAGAGGTGACATTTTGGCCAGTTGTGGTGGCTCACTCCTATAATCCCAGCACTTTGGGAGGCTGAGGCAAGTGGATTACTTGAGGTCAGGAGTTTAACACCAGCCTGGCCAATACTGTGAAACCCCATCTCTACTAAAAACAAAAAAATTAGCCAGATGTGGTGGTGCATGCCTGTAAACAGTCCCAGCTACTTGGGAACTGAGGCAGGATAGTCACTTGAACCCGGGAGGCAGAGGTAGCAGTGGTTGAGATCGTGCCACTGCACTTCAGCCTGGGCAACAGAGTGAGACTCTGTCTCAAAAAAAAAAAAAAAAAAAAAGGTAATATTTGAACTATCCCTTAGAGGAAAAGGCAGAGAGAAAAGGGAGGGAGGCTTCCCAGACTAAAGTCAGCAGGTACAAAGGCAGGGAAAGGGAAGAGCTTGGCTGTTCTGGGAATGGCAAGTAGTTTGGTGTTCATGGAGGATGGAGTCATAGCTAGCTCCATAAATCAACAGGAGAGAAACTGGGCTGAAAGACAGGCTGAGGGCAGAGATGAGTACAAGCCCCAACTGTGGCATCAGGTTTCAAAGTAGACTCCCTCAGGCATATCTTCTTCCCCTCCATGGTAGAAATGTTCTTGGCATCTCCCCTCCCTGTCCTTAACCCTCTAAGGAGTCAGCTCTCTCTCAGCAAACCCTTCCTGGGACACCAGGCCATCTCACCGGTCCTGCAGTTCAGCCTTCTCCAGATCCCCTCGACTCTTCAGCTGTATTAACTCCTGGCTCCTCTCATGGGCTTCCTTCTCCAGCTCCTGGGTCTTGGCTAGTAGCAGCAGCAGCTGGGCTGGTTCCCGCCCATCCATTCTCCCAGATCCGTCAGGTCCCCGAGACTGTGCTCCCACAGTCAAGCGTAGACAACAGGTCAACAGGGACCCTGAAAGCCTCACGTGCTCAGCCTTTAGCTCTGTCAGATCTCTGAGTACAAGCAAGGAAAATAGCAGACTCTACTACGAACCAGGGAAGGGAGTGTGGTGATCAGGCCCAGTGAAGCATGAGGAGCAAAGCTGGGAAAAATCACCTGCTTCCAACACCACCAACTCCCCAGCCTACCCCACCCCCATAGCTGATCCCACTTCTATAGCAGCCCACTATTGTAAGTCCAGAATTGGCAGGGGCAAACCTCCTCCCTTCTTCTCCCCACACTGACCTGTCAGTAGCTGACTTCATTTCCAGGAAATGGCGTCGGAAGGTCACCACCTCCCGCCATAGATTGAGAAGGCGACCATGCTCCCCTTTCAGGTAGCCCTTGAAGAACTGTGTGTTCAGAAACCCAGGTCATACCAAAAGGCAGAGGACTATCTTTTGCCAACACAAGAGTCTTGGATTCCTCCTGACTACTGGGGGAAGGAAGGAGGGACTTACAGGAGATCGTTTATGAATGGGTATCTATCCAGGTTATGCTGAAGGGTTTAATAAAGTTGGCAGTGGGATTTGAGAGGTCAGAGGGCCTAGGATGGTATGTCGCTTTCCTCTGGGCCATATTGGAAAAGAACACACAGTAGCTGCTTAACAAATGGGAGCAGACTTATAAGGAGAGTCAATGATATACATAAACCACCTAGCACAAAGCAAAGCAAAAGTGCAGGAAACATTTGTTTCCTTCAGCTGGGACCTGAAAATTCCGCAGGGCTTATAACTGGTCTTTCTTTCCTATTCAGTTTCAATATATACCTCTTTAGCATCTAGATATGCAAGGCCTCCAGACCAGGAGAGTCAATAAGCTTTCAGATCCATGGAAAACCTAAGGCGTCACTTCTGCAGGAACAGAGTTGCTTTGAGTGTCATGCTACCTGCCAACAGAACCTAGGCTAGGCAGGTAGTGGCAGGTCTAAGCTGAGGGCCCAAGCAGGATGAAGCTGCCAGCATGGGCAGGTTAAGAATGGTCAGAGACTTTAACAGCAACAGCTCAGTTTCCATCTAAATCCTGAAGTTAACCCCTTCCAATACTGACCAGGGCAGCATCCAGAGTGCACAGCCTTCCTCTCGCAGTTCCAGTCCCTGTTCTTCCTACCTCCTGCTCCATCCGCCACTGGCTCTCCTTCCTCATTAGCTCATCCTGGGCCCGGCTCCAGTCCACTGTCAATTTTTCCACATCTTCCCTAAGGGCTTTATTCACCACGTCAGCTTTTTCCATGTGCAGTCGAAGCTGGGTGTTCACCTCTGCTAGACTCTCACACCTGCACTGGGGAGGGGTAAAAGCAGGTGCAAAATAAAGGTCTGGTCCAACCCTTGGACTTCCTGGGAGTAAGATGGCAACCACTGAAATTTTCCATTGCAAGGAATTAGAGGGCTACGGCTGAAATCCATGGCTCTAATCCACATTAGTCCTCAGGGCAGAGGTTTCCCATTAGCCTTCTCCACCCACTGGCCAATTACCCAGGTCAGAAAGTTTGGGGTCCATCACCTCTGTTGCTCCTCCTCCAATCGAACCAGCAGCTCATCCAGGTTTGGCTCCTCCACATTTTCCCACCTCTGGGGGATTGGTCCCTGGGCCAGACAGAGACAAGCCTTATTTACCTCCGAAGAGAATGTCACTCAGACCAGTTCCCTGAGGCTCCCTTCCATGGCAGTCCACTTTCTTTCTATTCTTTCTACCCTTTGTTAGCAATACGTTTCTCTTCTCAATCACTGCATTCCTCACTCCAAAAGTGAGCTCCTGAAAGGCGGCCTTTGGTAGTAAAAAGAATCTTCAATCTAAGAAGTGATACATCTTTCACTAATGGCCTTAACTTCCACTACACTAATTGTTTGACCTTGGGAAGTGACTTCTTTTTTTTTTTTGAGACAGAGTCTTGCTGTGTCACCCAGGCTGGAGTGCAGCGGCATGATCTAGGCTCACTGCAACTTCCGCCTCCCAGGTTCAAGCGATTCTCCTGCCTCAGCCTCCTGAGTAGCTGGGACTACAGGCGCCTGCCACCACACCTCACTAAATTTTTGTATTTTTTAGTAGAGACAGGGTTTCACTGTGTTGGCCAAAATGGTCTCGATCTTCTGACCTCATGATCTCCCTGCCTCAGCCTCCCAAAGTGTAGGGATTACAGGCATGAGCCACCACGCCTGGCCCTCATTTTTCTTTTTGAAGATGGAATCTCACTCTGTTGCCCAGACTGGAGTGCAACGGTATGATCTCAGCTCACTGCAACCACCACCTCCTGGGTTCAAGTGATTCTCCTGCCTCAGCCTCCCAAGTTGTTGGGATTACAGGGACCCACCACCATGCCTGGCTAATTTTTGTATTTTCAGTAGAGATGGGGTTTCACTATGTTGGCCAAACTGTTCTTGAATTCCCGGCCTCAAGTGATCCACCCACCTCAGCCTTCCAAAGTGCTGGGATTACAGGTGTGAGCCACCACACCCAGCCTAGGAAGTCACTTAACTTCTTGGAGCTACAGTGTCTTCAGCTACAAAATGAAGGTGATATCATTCCCTTCTGAAAATTGCTTTAAAGGTGTGTTTTCAACTTATGACATTTTCTTTTCTTTTTTTTTTTTTGAGACAGAGTCTCGCTTTATTGCCCAGGCTATAGTGCAGTGGTGCAGTCTCAGCTCACTGCAACCTCTGCCTCCTGAGTTCAAGTGATTCTCCTGTCTCAGTTTCCCAAGTAGCTGGGATTACAGGCACACACCACCATGCCCAGCTAATTTTTTGTGTTTTTAGTAGAGATGGGGTTTCACCATGCTGGCCAGGCTGGTCTCGAACTCTTGACCTCATGATCTGCCCAACTCAGCCTCCCAAAGTGCTGGGATTATAGGAGTGAGCCACCATGCCCGGCCTTTTCAACTATGATATTTTCAACTTAACAGTGGGTTTGGGCCAGACACAGTGATTCACACCTGTAAACCCAGCACTTTGGGAGGCCAAGGCAGGAGGATTGCTTGAGTCCAGGAATTTGAGACCAGCCTGAGCAACATAGAGAGACTCTGTGTCTACAAAAAATAAAAAAATTAGCCAGGTATGGAGGCATGTGCCTGTAGTCCCAGCTACTTTTTTGGAGGCTGAGGTGGAATGATTGCTTGAAACTAGGAGGTTGAGGCTGCAGTGACCTGTGATGGCACCAGTGTACTCCAGCCTGGGCGACAGTGAGACCCTGTCTCAAAACAAACAAACACCAACCAAACAAGCAAACAAAACAACCCCAAACAATGGGTTTATCCAGACGTAACCCCATCATAACCCAAGGAGCATACTGAATGCATATAGCTTTCACACCACCATAAAGTTGAAAATTTGCAAACATCCTAAGAAGGGGACCATCTGCATATGACAGTGCCTCATGCTGCCTGGCCTGCATTGAAGGTGCTCAATAAGTCTTGGTTCTTTCTTTCCTCTGAGAGAAGTTTTCTGAGGAAAATGTGAGGAGGTGCTGAGAGTGAGCTAGAACAAAGGCAAATAAAAGAGCTTTTCAAAGCCAGTTCTAACAGCACAGACATCCCTCTGCTGCAGACAATGCTGTAGGCCCGGAAAGGCCTGCATCTTTCTATGACAGACAAACACTGACACCTGCTGGACGAAACATGTACTTCTTCCCGCTAATCCCACACTCCTCCCAATCTAATTTACATTTCATCCTTTGAGAACTGCGGGTTGGAAACTGACAGGCCAGCTAGGTCTGATGAAGATGTCAGTGTGATAAAGCTCTCAGAGGGTGAAAAAGAGAGACTCCTACCGAACACCTCCTTGTACACTCCAACCTCTCTCAGTCAACACAGGAAACCTAACAAATATATTCACTGAGGATCCAGGGGCCTCACAGAACTCAACCTCACTCACTCCAGTGGCTTCCAGCTGCTTCTCCAGCTCTTGGCACCAGCTCCGGTACTGCAGCACCTGTGGCAAACAGAAGAGGCCCTGGGCAATGAACACAGCTGGCACAAACAGCCCACGGCAAAGGCCCCTGAGGCTCTTAGGCAAACTTGCTATGAACAGAACTGGGGGGTGACAGTGAGGTAAGGCCATAACAGCTTATAGTTTCTATTTGGGCATTTTTTTCTTTTCTGGGATGGAGTCTCACTCTGTCTCCCAGGCTGGAGTGCAGTGTTGCAATCTTGGCCCACTGCAACCTCTGCCTCCTGGGTTCAAGCAATTCTCCTACCTCAGCCTCCCGAATAGCTGAGATTATAGGCACACGGCACCACATCCAATTTTTTTTTTTTTTTTTTTTTAGATGGTGTCTTGCTCCATTGCCCAGGCTGGAGTGCAGTGGTGTGATCTCGGCTCACTGCAACCTCTGCCTCTCGGGTCCAAGTGATTCTCCTGCCCCAGCCTCCTGAGTAGCTGGGATTACAGGTGTGCACCACCACGTCCAGCTAATTTTTTCATATTTTTAGTAGAGACGGGGTTTCACCATGTTGGCCGAGCCGATCTCGAATGTCTGACCTGTGATCTGCCTGCCACGGCCTCCCAAAGTGCTGGGATTAAAGGCATGAGCCACCGTGCCTGGCCTTATTTGGACATTTAAATAACACTTGCTATATGCATTATATCGTATAGGCAAGATCATGGGCTTTGGTTCTAGACTAGGTGAGCAAACCTGGATAACTAACTTAACCCTTGTGAATTTTGTCTTTAAAAGGGATATATTAGCCGAGAGTGGTGGTGCACACCTATGGTCCCAGATTCTCGAGAGGCTGAGGCAGTAGGATTGCCTGAGCCCAGGAGGTTGAGGCTGCTGTGATCTGTGATCATACCACTGAACTCCAGCCTGGGTAACAGAGCAAAACCCTATCTCAAAAATAAGATAAAATAAAATAAAATAAAAAGGATATAATATGTACTTCAAGGAACAGTTGTGAGCATCAGAAGAGAAGCTGGACAGGAAAGCTAGAAGGTCTGGGTCTTATCTCACCAAGCTAGGTGCAGGCCACTCCCACAAGGCTCTGCCTCCTACAACCCTTCTCTCACCTCAGCACCCAGCTGTGGTGGTTGTTCTCTTTCCCCTCCCCAAAAGGGCAGCTGCCTCACCTTGGCCTGCAGCTTCCTCACAAGAGTTGCTTGTCTCTGCTGGGCCTCCTGGGAGTTCTTCAGCTTCCGCCAAGAGGCTGCCTGATTCTCCGCCATCTGCTGCTGTAGTGCCAGCACCTGCTCTTCCAGCATTAGCCGCAGTGATGGGGGCTTCATGTTGTTCAACCCAGAGTTTCGTGTCTCCATGAGGGCACAATGCAGTAAGCCCACAGATCCCTAGGTAGCCAGAGACTGTTCACGCCCAGTAGGGTCTCTAACCATTGCCATGCCACTTCAACCTTCTCTTGAACTGGGGACCAAAGCACATAGTCAAATTGAAAGGACTGTTCTTTTACTATTTACAAGACTTCTCCGAACCTTTTTTTTTTTTTTTTTTTTTTGAGACAGAGTCTCGTTCTGTCGCCCAGGCTGGAGTGCAGTGTCGCAATCTCAACTCAGTGCAATCTCCACCTCCTGGGCTCAAGGGATTCTCCTGCCTCAGGCTCCTGAGTACTTGGGATTACAGGTACACACCACCATACCCAGCTAATTTTTGTATTTTGTATTTTTAGTCGAGAAGGGGTTTCACTACATTGGTCAGGCTGGTCTCAAACTCCTGACACCTCGTGATCCGCCTGCCTCAGCCTCCCAAAGTGCTGGGATTATAGGCGTGAGCCACTATGCCAGGCCCAGAACATTTTAAATACTAAGAGGGACCCTCATCTCTGAGGGGCGCTATGATGAGCATCATTTCCCCAAATTTAACCATGAGACAAGCTCATAGGGCTAGTATCTCCTGGCATGCCTTCTGGAACTCTGCACTACACCAAGAGCTTCTGGTTTATGACTGCATCCTTAGTGCCTGGCACAGTGGCTCACAAACATTTGTTGAATGAATTGCTGAAGGTGTTCTTAGTCTAGCAGGTGAAATAGACACAATTACAATATATAATGTGGCATGTGAAATAATAATAATAAAATAGTATGAGGAAACAAAGGAAGAGAACTTCACCCAGCTTGGGGAGCTGTGAACTGTGTGAATCATCATCATCATCATAGTTAATACTTGCTGAGTGCTTCTGGAGGGCTGTTGCTTTAGGTGCTTTATATGCATTATGTCATTTTGTCTTTACAAAAATCTTGAAACCTTCCAATGCCTTCCCATTACACTTCATCGAATGTACTATTACAACTCTTTATATATAGATGAGGAAACTGAGGCTTAGAAATGTTAAAAAAAACTTGTACCAGGCCACACAGCTTGCATGTGGTTGATGAGAGATTTGAACACAAGTAATCTGACTGACAAAGAAAAGGGGTAGCAGGCATTTCAGGCAAGGGATCCAAAAGAGAGAAGGAACCAGTGGAGGCAGGATAGCCAAACCCCCTCACCCACCAGGAGCTGGGCCAAAAACAGGGCAATGGGCCACCGCAGGCAGAGGCGACCAGCTTAACGGTGACCTTCAGAGATACCCAGGAGAGGGGAAAGCATGGTGGTAAAGAAGAGTTCTGGGTGCTAGTCCAAGCTCTGCCTCCAATGGGTTCTGTGACCTCAGATGTGCTACTTCCCTTTCTCGTCCAGAAATGAGGCCATTGAGCTACATGACCTCTGAGTTACTTAGGCCTCTAAAACACACAATTATCCTGTAACTTGGGCCAGGGAAGAGTTCTCTTATTTTATGACTTTCACCAGCAGGGCTAAGGAATTATTTGTATTTTCAACTACCTATTAACAAAATGGTATATACAGCAAATGCAAACCTAACATTTGCATACAGTAGAAATTTCAAGGGCCCCAAATCCTTTTAATGCACCAAACTAACGATTTCCCACATCCTGGCTCAAATGCCACATCCTATCATGTCCTTCCAGATGAACCCAGGAAGAGTTCATCACTTTTATAGCTATATACACAGAGAGAATATGTATGTTCTGATGTCTACTCTACATTTTATCATCATTACTTGTTAACTTTCTCTGCTAATCCATGAGCACCTCAAAGGCAGAAGCCATCTAATTCATTTTAATTAAAAGTTGTCAACAATGTCCAATGAGGAAATGCGTGTGAGCCTCACTCCTGGCAGAGCTAAACCTTAGGCCAGAGATTACAAATCAGTGCCCTGCTAGCTCTTTTCAGCCATTGTGTGGCCCACACAATTGTTTTTAGGAATTCAAATTAGATGCCAACATTTGTCACTGGGAGAATGTATATAAAATCCATATTTCTGGCTCCTTTGGAAAATCACAATACGTAGTGATGTTTGACCCATATTCCCACAAGGCAACAACCAGTCGTCCAGGTGAATAGGCCTTTAGACAGCGCATGTGTCCCACACAGGTGAATAGTACCTGCGCCCTTTACTCAGGGCATGTGCTCTCCAGTACATCGTGGCCTCCCCTAAACACACATCGATTCTCTCCTTCACAATGATCACATATTTCAGTTGTCATTTACCATTGCAACTATGCTATTGTTTCTGTTATAGTAGCACTACAGAGGAAAACTCAGCTTACTAATTTACATGACCTCCTGAACAATCAAAGATACTTAAGTTTGCAGAGCCTGTACTAGGCAGTAAGGAAAAGGCATAAAGTAGAAAGGATAAAATGGCACCAATAAAGACCTGGTGGCACCAGTACTCTAGGCCTCTTCCTAGCCTATGAACCAGGGTAATACAACCTTTCCCCATACTACGACACCCTTCTTTTCAGCCTTTTTGCCAACGCTGTGTGACCAACTCACCATGATGCTGTGAAATGCTGGCTCTGTTGAGTTCAATGAAGCTCAATCCCTTTCTGCTGGTTGGAGGCACAGACCTTCCAGGAAACTGTTCTCTTATCCCAGGATTTCTGCCAACAACTCTACCTACAACAATGTAGATCCAAGTTGCCTCAAGGGAACTGTGGAGCCTTTTCTCTCCTAGTACTGTGAGGGCTGAGCCAGGCTTTTGCATATAATGGGAGTTTATGAGGCCCTAAAGTCCCCCTGACACTTTGTTGAATCCTTATCCCAAAACATTAAGTTGAACCACATGAAATTGCTAATATTATCCTATTATTATTATTATTATTATTATTATTTTTAGAAAAAGCATCTAGCTCTGTCACCCAGGCTGGAGTACAGTGGTGCAGTAATAGCTCACCGCAGCCTCAAATTCCTGGACGGAAGGGATCCTCCAGCCTCAGCCTCCAGAGTACCTGGGACTACAGGTGTATGGTACCATGCCATTTTTTTTTTCCTGTAGAGAAAAGGTTTTGCTATGTTGCCTAAGCTTTGTCTCAAACTCCTTGTTTCAGGTAGCCATCCTCTGGCCCAACCCTCTCAAAGTGCTGGGATTACAGGTGTGAGCCACCAAGCCCAGCCCTATCCATTATTTTTTACCTACAAAAAATGACAATTTCATGTAGTTCAACCTAATATCTCTAATAAGCAGTCCTGTCACACATAGTTCCATGAATCCTCATTAAGTTTTCTTTTAGGATAAGGCTGTCAGTAACTTGTAAACATTATTTGCAAGGTGGTATTAGTAATACTTCAGCAAATAAATGAAATTATATTAGAATAATATAATTGTTTTACTTTAAGAGATAACTAAACATTTTTAAAGCTATTTATAAATTTAGTCCAACCCCCCTCATCTTACAGATAAGGAAACTGAGGTTATAGAGATAAAGCAACTTCATTTTGTTTCTATTTTTATATATCCCACTTATCTCAAAAAATGATTTGCATGGCCAGGTGCAGTGGCTCACACCTGTAATCCCAGTGCTTTATCTCAAAAAATGATTTGCATGGCCAGATGCAGTGGCTCACACCTGTAATCCCAGTGCTTTGGGAGGCTGAGGCGGGAGAATCACTTGAGGTCAGGAGTTCGAGACCAGCCTGGCCAACATGATGAAACCCCATGTCTACTAAAAACATAAAAAATTAGCCAGGAATGGTGGTAGGTACCTGTAATCCTAGTTACTTGGGAGGCTGAGGCAGGAGAATTGCTTAAACCTGGGAAGCAGAGGTCGCAGTGAGCCAAGATGAACTCCAGCCTGGGTGACAAGAGCGAGATCCTATCTCAGCA